GTCCTTCAGGGGGCACCTGGGTGGCTCAGTCGGCTAGACTTCAGCTCAGGTCATGATCTCGCGGTCCATGAGTTCGAGCCCCACGTCAGGCTCTGTGCTGACCGCTCAGAGCCTGGAGCCTGTTTCGGATTCTGTGTCTCTCTCTCTCTCTCTGACCCTCCCCCGTTGATGCTCTGTCTCTCTCTGTCTCAAAAATAAATAAACGTTAAAAAAATAAAAATAAAAAAATGAAATAAAATAAAATGAGTCCTTCAGAAGCTGGAAAGGCGTGGCCAGGGTCACGTTCCTTCTGGAGACTCTCGGGCAGAATCAACTCCTTGACTTTTCTAGTTCATAGGGGCTCCCCACGTTCCTCCACCCATAACCACATCATTCCGATTTACGCTTCTGTTTTCACATCTCCAGACTCTTCTGCAACTGCCCCTCTCTTGTAATGATCTTTATGATTACCTCAGACCCACCCAATATAATCCTGTCTCAAAATCCCCAACTTAATCATATCTGCAAGATCCCTTTTGCCTTGACATGTTCACAGGGCCTGTGGGGGGTGCATTATTCACCCTACCACAGTGCCCCACAGAAGGACAAACATGGCAAATAGTTTTCATTACGAAATAGTTTAAGCTTACAGGAAAAGGTACAGACGATAACGTAACAGAGATCTGTGTACCTACCGCCAACCTCAACACTTTACCATGTGTGGCTCTTGTTTTCTCAGTAAGAAAATATTTTTTAAAAATGTAGCAGATTCAGTAGAAGCCCCAGTGTAACTCTCCCCAAACGTCTCCTCCGTTCGAGAGAATTCAAGCATTTTCTTAAATTTGGCATCTGTGTTCATGGCCCTCTATTTTTAGTGTCTTTTTGCTGAGCTCAAATCACTGAAATCGAATGAGTTGCATGCTCATTGGATGTGACACCGTGGGAGTCAGCTGCTGGAAGCTTCCTTGGCCCCACCCTCCCAACGCAGGCCACTATCCCACTCAAAGAGTACCGGGTGGGGTGGGCGGGGGATGGCTGGGGGGTTGAGATCGGAGGTGTAACAAGGAAGCCAGCCTGAAGCAGAGGTTAAGGTCAATAAGCCTGAGTGAGAATTGTGGTCATGTTACTTCGTGGCTGGCGTGACCCCTTGGAGGTTACTCAGCGTCTTTGCTCCTCATCTGTAAAGCCAACAGAATACTTGTCAGACTTGTTCAGAGAACTGAATGGGATAAGGTATGAAAACATCACGTAGAACACAAACAGCGTTCCCATGGCCAGAATCATATTTTTGTTGGTTACTGTTGTAATTGAAGGCGTTCCAGGGCAGAGAGGTAAGACAGTCCTCCCTGAGCACAGGGAGAAGATTTGTAGCTCCAGGGGACTGTGGGCAGATCCTTTCTTGGCTGGCTGTACAGAAGGTTCCAGGAAAGCCCGAGGCACGGTGGGTGGTGGGAACTTCCCAGTAGCTCTGCCTCCCAGGGAGAAAAACTGAACTTTCCAGAGGCCAGGACTGCCAGCTTTCTGGGATCCGCTGCCCTCCCCCCCCATCCCCCCCCCCCCACACACACGGTGGTGTAGCCTGGAGCCCACCCACCTCTCTGCCCCAGCAGCAGGAAGCAAGCTGGAGGGGGCTGACAGCAGGTGGATGGGCTTAGGAACCTGGATCCTTTCCCTATTCCGCATTGCTCAAGGTGAGATTTCCTCTGATTCATCTTTGTCTTCCTCCTGCCCCCTCCCTGCCGCCCCCCCATACCTGGTGCTGGGGAAGCTACATGACTTTGAGCTGCTGTCAGCCCTCCGGGATCTCAGGTTCCCATTTCCAGGGACCTGTTACAATGGAGGCTCCCAGCACGGCACTGCTGACTGCCAGTTGAGGGAGGGCCCCTGGCTGCCCAGAATTGCTCATGTTTCTGAGAAGAAGCTCAGAGGCCAGGGGCCCGGGGAAAGCCTGTTCCCCATGAACACAGAGTGTCCTATTCATGGATGAAGGCTCAGAGCACTTGCCCTCAGGAAGTTGGGCAAGATACAGCGACACACAGACAGTGGCAGAGCTGGGGTTGCAGCCCAGTCTGTTTATCTGACTCAGTATCTGTGGCTGGGGCCATCTCCTACCCCTGCCCCTGTCCCTGCCCACCATCACTATCAGGGCGAGCTCCCTGGTTCAGGGGGGACATCTTTGATGCCTCATGTGACCAAGACCCAGGGCTGAAGCTGGAGAAGCTCCTTAGGCTCTGTAGTGGGGAGAGCACACACAAACTGTACCCCAAGACCTCACTGTCAGAACCCCTGTGCCCCCCCCAACCGCAGCTCAAGCCCCAGGTGAAGGGACCTTCCTTCTCCCTCCACCTGAATCTCTATCTGCAGATCAAAATCTGGCTTATTGTGGAAGACTGGAAAATAAATTTTCCCTTTATAGGGAAAAATGAGACCTTTGTCCCTAAAGTGGACACGACTGATGCCATAGCTAGAAATATATTCAGCCACAAATAGTAATAATAATAATAGTAAGAAAAATAACAATAATAATAAAAGAAACCCTGACCAACAACATCTTAAAGAAATAGTTGTTTATTTCTCTCATATAAAATGACAGGCTGGGCTGTGGTCTTTCTCATTCTCGTAGCTTTCCCCTCATGGTGTCAAGATGGTTGCAGCAGCCCCATACATCACATTTTTACACCATGTTCAGAAGCAGGAAACAGGGGGTGATACCAGGCAGAGTTTCTTCCTTATCAGCAAGCAAAGACTATTTTCAAGAACCCAACCCTTTCTTCACATCATTGGCCAGAGGGGTTATAAAGTCTTCCACAGCAAAGCCAGAAAGGGTGTATCTGGCCTTCCCAAGCTTCACAGTGAGAGGAAGACAGGAAGAAAGGTTTGGGGGATGACTTTGAGTCAATTGGCCCCAAGTACCTGCCACAACTGACCAGCCCAAGGACCCCTGATTTTGGACAACTAGACTCAGGTGCAAAACGTATACGATTTTCTGATGAAGGGACCAGAGACTGACCTGCAAGGCGGAGGAAAATTCTTCTGGTTTGGACTGGAAAAGAGAGTTTTAAAACTTGTGCCTGAGCGTGACAGACAACTCCCTGGATGAGACTTCACTTTCGGGTGGTGTTCCAAATGTTTATCGAGGTGTAAACAAACACCCCAGGGGCCCCTGGGTGGCTCAGTCTGGTGAGTGTCCGGCTTCAGCTTGGGTCACGATCTCACAGTGCGTGAGTTCGAGCCCCACATCGGGCTCTCTGCTGTCAGCGCAGAGCCTGCTTCGGATCCTCTCTCTCTCTCTCTCTCTCTCTCTCTCTCTGCCCCTCCCCCACCTCTCTCAAAAAATAAACAAACATTTGAAGAAAAAAAATCCCAAGATGTAATGGCTTAAGCAGGATAATTTATTATTATCTCTCATGGTCTAGGAGTCAGCTGGGTTCAGTGGGGCAATTCTCACTTGGGGTCTCATGAGGTCGCAGTGGGGGCTGGAGCCCATCTAAAGGTTTCTCTGCTTCAATGTGTGGCTCCTGGGCTGGGACAGCTGGGGACCCCAAGCATTGCTCTTTCCATGTGTTCTCTCCACTTGACTAGCCTGGATGTCCTCACAACATGGCGGTCTTGGGATTGTCAAACTTTTTTCAGGGCAGCTGGCTCCACCCTAAACAAATGTCCAAAGACAGTTTCCATGAGAGCTTTGCAGGGCTTCTTAAGGCCTTGCCCTGGAAGACCTAGAACATCCCTTCCACCTTGAATGGAAGGAAGACCCACCGGAACCTGAGGTGGGGGAGGGGCCGTTGAACTCCACGTCCTGACATGAGGGAGGGAAGGACTTGATGGCGGCCGCGATGATCTGAGGTCATAAGTGACCTCAGTGTGGCTAACCTTCAGTGAGGAAGGAACAGTGAGGCCTTCATCCAAGGCACATTGAGTCCCCGAGGGAAGGAAATATGCAAGGAGTGACGTCAGAAGAGGGACCCACAGAGTCCAGAGGGAAGTATTGGTAATGAAATGCTGACCTAGCCCCAAAGCGGCTCCCTGAACAACCAGTTCTGAGAGGCTCTGATCTTGTGAAACCGTCCACAAGGGAGGTGTGGCCAAATCTCCCACGAGGCTCCTGGGGGACAAGGAATTGCCTGCGTGGGAGCCTAAAAACAGAGGCAGAGAAGGGCCTTTGATGGCTGGGGTGGGGACGCTACTGCGTGGTCCGGAGTTGAGTGCCTAGGAACCCCGTGTGACACCATAAACACTTGTCTTGTTGGGGGTCTGGCCTTCTTCTCACCATCCTTTAAATCAGGAGGTGGCAAACTACAGCCCGTGGGCCAGACCCAGCCCTGGGCCTGTTTTTAATCCAACCAGGACTAAGAATGGTTCTAAAGGATTTCAAGACAAGGGCGGTGGCGGGGCCCCAGGGGGGGGCCGCGCGCGGGGTATGTAGTAGGCATGCAAGTGGCCCTCGAAGTCTAAATATTTATTATTTGGCCCTTCACGGAGAAAGGTTGAGGGCCTCTGCTTTAAACAAAGAGCGTGACTCCCGCCGGTGTCCAGAGAGCTGATTTTAAGTGTCACCAACAAAGTTACTTCCTTTTTGACTCTCTCTCAATCCTTGCTTCTTCTGGGACCAGGGCTCAATTGGGGGCGGCTCCGTCTTGAACACAGGACTAACATTTGCAGATGTCCTTTACCTAGCTAGAATTGTGTGGTATTGTTTTGTTTTCGCTGTGTTTATATCGTCAATGCCCTTCACGGCTCTGACGTTGATTTTTTTTCACCCATTACGTACAAATTTCCTTTTGAAATAAACTCATTACATTAAAAAGAGGAGAACTTCAAGAACTTTCTATTTACTAGAAAACAAGAGGGGGCGTGTACTGATGTGGCAAATAAATAGTGAGGGCGGTGTGTGAGTGGCTGCGTTTAGGTGTGCGGGGTCTGGGCTTCTGCCTTGGTCCTTCTCTGAGTCTCCTTCTAGTTCTTCCCGGTCAGATGTGTCCATCTCCCAGGCTCTTCAGCCCCATTCACATGCCGGTGACCCCCACGCCTGCACTGCTAAGTCAGCCTTCTCTGAGTTCCAGAATGTCGAAATCAACCACCAACGGGACGTCTCCACTTCAATGATCCAGGGGGACCTAAAATAGAACGTTTCCACAAGCAAACTTCTGCTCTTGACCCCACCTCTTCCAAATGGGGCACAGTGGTTAGATCTCAGTCTCTTGAGTCAGGCAGAACAGGGGTCCAAGTTTCTGCTCTGCCACTTACTACTACCTGACCTTGAACAAGGTGCATCATCATCTGAGTGCCAAATGGACTTATTGAGAGGAATAAATGAGATAATGGAGGCACCGCACTCAGCACAGAGTTGGGTACATAGAAAGCTAATGTCAGCCATTACTATCATCATTAACTTTGTTTTAAGTTTTATCTATTTATTTTCAGAGAGAGAGAGAGAGAGGGAGCTCGAGGGGCAGCGCGTGTGGGTGGAAGGGCAGAGAGAGAGGGAAAGAGAGAGAATTCTAAGCAAGCTCTGTGTGCTGTCTGCCCAGAGCCTGACACGGGGCTAGAACTCAGGAACCATGAGATCGTGACCCGAGCTGAAATCAAGAGCCGGACGCTTAACCGACTAAGCCACCCCGGTGCCCCAGTCATCATTAACTTTTAAAGTTCTTATTTGAAAAATTGTCACTACAATACAATTGACCTCTTCGGGGGTGTACAATTCTTTGAATTTTATTTATTTTTTACTTTTTTAATGTTTATTTATTTTGAGAGAGAGCGAGAGCAGAGCCACCCAGGTGCCCCTCGATTCTTTGAATTTTAGCACATCCCCAGATTCGTGTAACTGTCCCCAAGACAGAATACACAACAATCCTGCCAAAACTCCCTCCTGCTGGGCCTTTCCATTCCCCACTGGTGACCTCTGGCAACCACTCACCTGTTCTCCCTCCATACAGTTTTGCCCCCGAGAACGTCATAGAAATAGAACCTGGCCGTATCTAACCTTTGGAGACTGGCTGCTTTCACTCCGCCTGAGGCCTTTGTGATTCATCCGAGGTGCTGTGTATCAACAGTTCCTTCCTTTTATCGTGCAGGGGTAGACACACGCTGAGAACTGCTTCCTTTCTTTTCACCACGCCAGATGGACACAAACAGACTCCACAAGGTCTTGGCCTAGAAATCCCTTTCCCTGGGGAAGCTGGTGGCCCCCATACTTTACCTCAGCTGCCCTTCCTCTCAGTCCCCCACAGGCCTTCCAACAAGAAGAGGCTCCGAGGGGCACCTGGTGGCTCGGTCGGTTAAACATCTGACTTCGGCTCAGGTCACGATCTCACGGTTTGTGGGCTCGAGCCCCGCGTCGGGCTCTGGGCTGACATCTTGGAGCCTGGAGCCTGCTTCGGATTCTGGGTCTCCCTCTCTGTCTGCTCCTCCCCCCGCTCACGCTCTGTCTGTCTCTCAAAAGTAAATAAACATTGGAAAGAAGATTTAAAAAAAATTTTTTTTTTCAACATTTATTTATTTTTGGGACAGAGAGAGACAGAGCATGAACAGGGGAGGGGCAGAGAGAGAGGGAGACACAGAATCGGAAACAGGCTCCAGGCTCCGAGCCATCAGCCCAGAGCCCGACGCGGGGCTCAAACTCACGGAGTGCGAGATCGTGACCTGGCTGAAGTCGGACGCTTAACCGACTGCGCCACCCAGGCGCCCCGGAAAGAAGATTTTTTAAAAAATTAAAAAAAAAAAAGAAGAGGCTCCAAGTCTAACCGTATGGTTTGAGGGAGAGAAAAACCCTTGGTCCCCTCCGTGATGGTAAATGGAAGACACCAAGGGGCTGACAGCTGGTGTCTGGGGGACAGCACTGATCCCGGATCCCTGCGTGGTCCATGACTTGCCATTTGCAGTCATCTGGCCAGGCAACGTCAGGGCAACCTGTTTTCCTGACACACACCCCCCCCCCCCCCATCCAACGTACTAGTCACAGGACGGAAGAGGCTGGAGCCCGTGAGTAGGAAGAAGAATTTCAGAGGGCGAGGGAGAGGCTGAGCAGAAGAGACGGACTGCTTGGGGCCTGAATAACATCTTTCTTTGCACTGTTAGAGAACAGAAGTGACCCTGGCCTCCGAGTTGTCCTAGGAACGTCTTTTTGGCCTTTTGTGTGTCCTTCTGTCCATTCCTGGGTATCCCAGGGCTGGGTCTTAGGGCAAACGCACATTAAGGAGAGACAGGGAGGGAGGGAAGGAGGGGGAGAAGGAGAGAGTTTGAACCTCCTTGCTTCGTAAGAGCAAAGTCTGGCGGCCGGGCCTCAGGGTCTTTCTGACCCGCCTCGGGCCCCGAGGGGACCCTTGGTGGCAGTGGCATTAACAAGTGGCTTAGTTCTGCCGTTCGCTGTGGGGCTAGTGAACTTCGGTTCAGGGAGAACAGGCTTGCTCCGGGTCACAGGGCAAAGCGAGCCATGGGGTTGGGCTCTGGCCAGCTGGCCTGGGTGGTCCGGCTGCTGGTGTCATTTTCATTTCCTCTGGAAGTCCCACGCACCTGACCTCAGAGGCTGCTGCCATATGTGTGTGTGTGTGTTTCCCCAGGGGATTGTGGTTCATGGCTCTTCTGAGCAGTAGGTCAGCCTGGGTAAGACGACAGGGTTAGAGCTTTCCGACCGGTAATGGAAACAAGGCCAACACCCAGAAACACGAAAGCATTGACATCAGACAAGTGAGTTAGAAAACACGTCCCCGGGGCGCCTGGGTGGCTCAGTCGGTTAAGCGTCCGACTTCGGCTCAGGTCACGATCTCACGGTCCGTGAGTTCGAGCCCTGAGTCGGGCTCTGTGCTGACGGCTCAGAGCCCAGAGCCTGCTTCCGATTCTGTGTCTCCCTCTCTCTCTCTGGCCCTCCCCCCATTCATGCTCTGTCTCTCTCTGTCTCAAAACATAAATAAACATTAAAAAAGTAAATAAATAAAAAATAAAGTTCAGCAGGTCAAAGGGGCCCACCCCACTTTCTCCAGCATGGGGCTCCCGGGTTCCAGCGTCACACAGAGAAAAATTGCCCTCTGCCTGACCCCTGGTGAAGGCACTCAAAGGGACAGGGTCCGTGGGGTGTCTCTTTCTTCACATGATCAGCCCCTCAAGAGGCGCACGAGGAGGAAAGCCAATGGAAAGGAAAAGGTGTCTCCTCCCTGCATCTCCGCGCTTCTCCAAACCACCTTCTTCCTTTCTCCATCACCCCCAAGACCACCCACCACTTCTGCAGCTGCCGCCCAAACACCCACCAGGTGCCGGGCACCCCTCCAGGCACCGGGATACGGCGATGATCACCACGGAGCGGCCTGGCTCCCCGAGAGTTCGCGTTCCTGTCAGTGGAGGCTGGAAAAGGGACGTAAGTCTATTAAACAGAAATTATACTGACTACTGTAAGGAAGAAACAGCAGTTATTTAGAGAGAGACTGAGTCCTAGGGGGATAGGCCACTTTGGCTAGGGGTCAGAGAAGGCCTCTAGGAGCTGACCCTTGAGCACAGCCATCAGCACCAAGAGGCCAGTCCAGCAAAGATTTGGGGCAAGGGCATCCAGGCAGAGGGAGCAGCATGTCCTGAGGGACATCAAATATGTCCAGACTGGGAGATCCAGGGAGATCTCTGGGGAGCCTCTCGAGATTGTTTTCCCTTCCGTCTGGTTCCTCGCAGGGATCGTGATGAAAGCAAGAACTCGCCTATATCTGCCTGACCTTCGTACACGTTCACATCGAGGCTCATCGTGACAAGGGAGAGAGCTCTTTGCTGGGGTAGCCTCTCCTCTTCCGGACGGCGAGCTAGGTCCTTGAGAAGGACAGAGGACAGCCTCGTGTTCTCTTTTCAGGGCCTCAGGGAGCACTGGTACAGACTGCTGGCTCCCGCGTGCCGGGGGTAGGGGGTGACAAAGCTTCCTGACCGCACGCGATGCTCCCTCTCACTTCCCTCTGGATGCAAATGCCTTGGAAACTGACCAACCAAGACGGTCCTTTTTGGCAACGTGGGCCCCACATGCTGCTTCGAGCCCCGCGAGCAGGGGCCTTGCGCTCTTCTCCCAGGAGATGCGGAGCCGGGCAAGGTTACCGGTTAACGTCCCAGCAGGCTCCCTGCCGAGGCCTTCTCCCCCGGGGCATCCTCACCCAGTGGCTCAGCTCAGCCCCAAAGCTGGCTTCCTTCCTCCAGCCTCCGAGCCGTCTGGGCACCGGCGTGGCTCACGACGGTCTAGTATACTTACTTGGTCAGGAAGACGTCCGAGGGCCTCAGTGATAGGTCAGATGATTCGACCCCTATCCCAAGGCACAGGCTTGCTTTTGTCATTTCAGGGAGGTCCTGGAGGGTTTCTCTTTCGGGCCCTTCAAAAGCCATTCTCCACCAGCCACTGTGGGCAACACAAAGAGAGACCCAGACCCTGCCCGAGGGAGATGACTCCTTCTGCCTCTGCCCCGACCACCACTGTGGCAGGGAGGAGAGTGAGAGGCTGGGGAGGGGACCGACAGAGAGGAGGCGGGAAGGCAGGCCAGATGGGGCAAAGGCAAAGGAAATGGGTGGCCAGTCTGAAGACAGACGGACAGAGTGGGGAGGTGGGCAGGCGTCAGAGCCGGGGGTACTCAGAGGACGTGGGTGTGACTCCCCAGGGCCTGAGGAATGGGCAGAGGTCACTTCATTCAAAGAAGGCACGGCTTGGGGCGCCTGGGTGGCGCAGTCGGTTAAGCGTCCGACTTCAGCCAGGTCACGATCTCGTGGTCCGGGAGTTCGAGCCCCGCGTCAGGCTCTGGGCTGATGGCTCAGAGCCTGGAGCCTGTTTCCAATTCTGTGTCTCCCTCTCTCTCTGCCCCTCCCCCATTCGTGCTCTGTCTCTCTCTGTCCCAAAAATAAATAAAACGTTGAAAAAAAAAAATTCAAAGAAGGCACGGCTCAGTTCTGAGGCAGCCCAGCAGAGAAAGGGGGGGTACCTCTCGTGGTGGGCGCCCCCACCCCACCCATGCCGAGCCTCCAGAAGAGCCGGTCCTGGATCTGGACGAGGCCAGCATGTGGGGCAGACTGGATTAGAGCCACACAACCCGGGCAACTCCTCCCTCCGCACGCAGCTGAGGGGCAGGACATGCTCCCTTGGGATCCCCGGCTTCCCACGAAGCTAAGTCCTAACAGAGCTGGGGTCCACACCTGCCACCCTTCTCCACCTAAACCGACACAGCCAACACCGAGAGGGACACCGTGACTTCTAGGCTCCCTTTAACTCTTAAACAACGTCTGATTCTACGAGACTGGGGCGTCAGGGTCACCTCAGGGTAATAAGGGAGGTACAGGGGTCAGAGCAGCTAAGCTGTGAGTGGCTGTTTGGTGTGGGGGGGGGGGCAGTGTTTGCAAAATCCGGGCCACGTGAACAATAATAATATGGTGGGATACTTGACTGTAAGTCGCATTCCACAGGGTCGGTCCTCTCAGTGACGCTGTCCGGCGAGCAGAGCTGGTACGACATCATTCAGGTGTCCCTCCAGAGAGGCGAGCAGGACGGGCCTCCACTTCCTGTGCCCGTCACCCTGCCCGCGACCTTCAGGGTCTCCCTTTTAGGTGCTGGAAGGAAGCTGAGAGCTGCAATCCTCCCAAAAGACCCCTCCAGACTCACTCACAGCACTCGCTGGAGGCAGACCCGCCAAAAATCAATCGGCAGATTGATCTGCAAATTGAATCGATTTCCCTCTCCAACTCATCGATATTTACTTAACTTCTACTTCATAGAGCAAAATCAATTCAGCTTATTCCCTCCTGGAGCGCCCAAGCTAGACATGATCTCTCCCCCCCCTCTAAACTTCAAGCCTGTCTTGCAGAAAGACGGCTTATCACATCATTAAAGGCTGGTCCCAGCCATCCCTCTCCCCCATCTGCTCTGCCTCCCCGAGCTTGTGTTTCTAGCCAGGAGATTTTCGGCAAGAGACCTCGCTTCCCCAAGGCGGAAGCGTTGACCGTTGCTCAGACAACAAGGCCCAAGCCTCTTTTGCTGATGCTTTTAGCCCTTTGAACTTGTGCTCTCACCAGCCCCAGAGCAGCGGGAAGTGTTCTTCCGGACGGCAGAATGCAAAAATCCAGAAATGGCCCCCGTTGCCTGTGGAGAGCTTGTGTGAGATAAAGGCAGGGTCAGGAATCTGGGGTGGGGGGAAAGAATGGGTGATTTCAGTTAGTGCTCGGGTAACTGGAGAGCCCTGGGGAACCAGGAACAATTGGAGGTGTTCCTGTCCTTTACCAGAATACCTTCCAAAGGGATTGGCCATTTAAGTGTAAAAGGACACCATCCAAGTACAAGGGGGCAATCGGGAAATTCTTCTATAATTTGGGAGCGAGCAAAGCTT